GAATCATATTTTGTATTATGGAGGAAATGTGAGAATCCACTTAATAACTTAAAGAAAGAACTAAAATCACACATGTAGCATCTATAAAGGAAATATACATTACCAGGAGCATGATACACAGTCAGCTCTTAAAAACAATCTTTATGTCTGAAGGCTTTAGTTAGGAAAAATTGGTTCTTCTTTTTCATGTCTAATGTAAAGAAATACTGTGCTTCTCGGGCTTAGGTAGAGCTTTTTTCAGATACAGTAATAAAAGAGAAAAGTCTTTGTCTTCTTGTATATCTATTGTCACTACATAAAAGAAGTCCACTAACAGCTAGCAAGGTCCTGGCAGATTAACCCTCTCCTCCAGCCTTCTGTGATATTTCTAAAACCATCTGCTTGTTCAGTGCATCCATTTTTACACTTCACCCGAAAAATAATGTTTGGAGAGTTTTATTAGACAGGATTTCCTTCTGCAAAGGGCTGTCTTAAATAAATGGGATCACCGATTCAGTTCAAAATTTTTTAGCCTTTTAGTAGACCAGCTGTATCTATTATGTATGGCCCTTCTAAGTCAGCAGCCATTAGAGGATATAGTAGTTAAGAAAGCCCAGGTACGGCTATTCTCAGACAGGAAAAAATCTGCCTGCCAACGCACAACACACCAGTTTGCGGGTTTGATCCCTGGGTCAGGAAGAGCCCCTGGAGAAGGAAATGGAAACACACTCCAGTATTCTTGCCTGGGAAATCCAATGGACAGAGGAGCCTGGCAGGCTACAGTCCATGGGGTTGAAGAGAGTCGGACGTGACTTAGCAACTAAACAATAACAACACGGTCACTCTAGCCTCTAATAGGTTTGCCCAAGGTGCAGAACAAAAGAAGACATTACTTTGCTTTAGCTGTACAAGTAAAACAGCTTGAGAAAAAATATGAAGCAGAATCAAAGTCCTTATTCCTCCTTACGAACTAAACAGGATGATTTATTTTACTAGATTTCCAAGGGAAGAGAAATTTGCCTGCATTTTCCCATCAATGCCCACCACTCCCCAAGCACTGCTTGGTTAAAATGTTTCCGCTAAGTAACCTGAATAATAGTATGAATGTCTTTGCATGGGACTGAAAAACAAAACAGAAAAGCACGTGAGTGTGGCACCTTTCGATGGACAGCAAAGAAAGTCACAAGATGGAAGAATGACGGGGAAGGAGCTTTTGAGTTATGCCAGTCTGGAAATGAGGCTTTAGGACTGCCAGGCATTACAAATTGCAGCCTTCATGAGAATGCCTGTTTTCCAAATGTCGCTTTCAACCGACACGGTTTCTGCTTAACATTTGTCAAACCTCTTCTTTTGTTAAGAGTTAACGTGTCAGCTTTTAAAATGGCTTGCAGTTTCCATCCACCCTCCTTGATGGAAATGTGAAAAGTGTGAGTTACTCCCTTTCACAAAGAATCTTGTCAAGGATCCTGACTCCAATCTGACTTCTCCTCTCGGCGACTAAAAAAAAAAAAAAATCTGCCTCCTGGAAGCTTAACAAGCAGCGACGATATGATCATAACTCTGCACAGAAACAGAAGTTAGTCGACAATAGCCCGAAGACGCTAACACGCTTGTAGGGTTTCAGCGTCGACATCCAGAGGAGCCAATTCCTTTGACAGAGGGAACAAGTGACAACAAGCGGGCAACGCAGTGACACCAGCCAATATGTTCCCTTTGCTGAAAGTACGATAAATGAGCAAAGAGGAAGCTCCGTCTGAGGAATCATCAGCATGTGACGAGTGCCCCAACGTACCCCCAAAACAACCTCCTGAAGAATCGCCTCTCAGCACTCTCCCAGCCCACACCTGCCCACATCCCCTCCTGTTCCATCCTCATCCACTTAAATCCCTGCCAAGTATTTTAATTCCTCCTAAACACTGACTTCCCTGTTTTGTTTCAAACATCCATGTCACCTCTTGGAGTCTGTTAAGAGTCTGGAAATCAGATAATTCATCTCTCCTGGACTGTCGCTGCTCGAGACTCAGAAGGCCTCTTAGGATGCGCTGGGAACAGGAAGGTCACCTTGAACCTCAACCAGGGACACGAAGGGAAATGAAATGAGCTGGTGAGTTCTTAATGCTCTCATTTAGGTAATGGGTCGATTGGTTAGAAAGGGGAGGGGGAAAAAAAGGAGATTCATTGGTATTTTAAGTGCCAGAATAAAAAATTAAAATATGCTTTTATGACAGGCTAAAGATCAATATATATATAAAAAAGGATTTTTTAATTGGAAGGGGTGTGCATGACTTATATAAAAAGAGATGAGGAAGTGAAGATTAGAAACTACAGGTTTTAAAATAAAGAACCTAAGACTAAGGTACCAAATAAGACATTTGCCTTGTTTAAAAAAATATCGGTGTAATACATAAACTGCCTCCGTGCAAGTCATCACATGTACAGCTTTACAAAAGTAGCCAAATATCTGCTAATTAGCTTTAATTTTTCAGAGAGTTGAGAAATCCTATAAGTCCTCTAATTATGAAGTGACTGCTTAAAAAAAAAAAGAATTAAATTTGATTTCTATTTACATGAGGATATACAAACATATACTTATTCTTCTAAAAGAGGACCTTAAATTATAAAAATCAGTAAAACATAGTGATGGCATTTTTGCACAAGTATATTTTTTTTAAAAACAGGCTGAGCACTTGAGGCAGGGTCTTACTTGGTTCACAGGCCATGTTTCTGGCTGGTATGTCGATCAAGGAATGAAGGTCACGGCTCCACTGGGAGAACAGGAGGGCAGAAAGCTGGGATACAGAAAGTGGTTAACATTCTTCTCTTTCCCAAGGAGGGGAGAAGGGGAGAACTCTAAGAGAATTCACTTTAGGGAGGTCCCTGCTCCCAGGAGTTTAATGTCAAGGGCATTCTCGCAGGAGAGGCACACACACTCCTCCCACATCAGTGAACAGAGCACTGACTGGGACCCCTACAAAGGGGTCGGTGGCTCTCCCACGCTTCTCTACGCTTTTCCATGCTCATTTAACTGGACAAAAGATAACAAAATTCTCCAAGAGGAAATCATGTAAAAAATAAGCCAGTGGGCAAACTGCTTAGATAACTCTGATCCCCCAGTATAAAATGCTATTGAAACAGACACGAATATATACATCAAACATGGCATGGACTAAGTGGATCACAGATTCTCTTTCAAATAAGTATCAATAAACCCAGTCAACACCTCTCCTTTATCCAGAATCCTAATGACGTTCAAATAAACAGAAACTGCCTGTAATAGCACATAATGGTGATTAACTGCCTAATGACTCTAATGTACTCAAAATCCATACATTCACAATGTAATCTCTTAGAAATGAAATGAAAACTAGAAGCACTTTTCCATGCACTGTATTCTAATTCTCTGTAAATTCCAAATTAGTGTGTTAGTGTAAATTCTAAATTAGGGTAGATTTAAAAAATCATTAACCAGAATAAACAACAGAGTGTTTCCCCCAATTCTGGATTAATAGTAGCTTATTTATTTTTCTGTAGTTATTATGTACCATGTTTTTCTAATAGTACACCACCCTACAAACCAAAGCACTGCATAACCTTCCATTCACTAATGAAACATTAGAGGCTAATCTAAAACTGATGCTAGCAATGATTAAGAATTTAAGAGAAACCAAACGAACAATAAACAGCTAATTTGCAATTATAGTTTCACACATTTTCATGATGAACTAGACAAATTTCCAACCCTGAGCTATGTTCATTTAGGAAAAAAAAACCTATGTATGTATAATAATTGCTCATATCTATATGGTTCATGAAGCAGTAACACACACCCTACACATCTCTCATTTTACTCTTTAGTAAGTCTTATGACATAAGATAAATATTAAGATTTCAAAAAAAATGTTAAGGTATCATCTTAAAAGAAATCTAAACCATGCTTCAAGTTGCATTCATATACAAGGATATGCGTCATTTTGGCAATTTCAGTTTATTCTGCTTGAATATATATCATTGTTCTTTCACAGTTTACCTTCTCTGTGATTCTGTCTGCGGGAAATATACCAAAAGGAGTCCCAGAGGTGTCACCAGGAGCATGGCACCATGCGGACTTGTACTACCAGGACCACCACTGGCCATTCATGGGCTAGGACTCCGCCCTGTCAGTTAAATCCGACCCACTGTTCCAACAGATCCGGAGAAAGCCGTGTTGAGCTGAGGGGCAGGGAATAGCTCTGACACCCAAGGAAAAAAAAGGGAGACTCCACTGGCTGCAGCCTTTAATGACCCCCGAGGTCTTCTCTAAGAGTTGGGATGTTAAAATTCTCACTGGACACAAAAACAGATCAAACTTGACTGTGAATTGTTTCAAGTCTTTTGCAGTTGCTTAAAACTAGAGGTGGCTAGCTTTCAGCATTAGTGTCACTGAAGCACTGAGAGAAATGATCAATTTGGGGGTGGTGAGTGGGGGGAGCAGAAAATAGTAACAGAAGACACAGTAATAGCAGAGCCGGTAGAAGTGCTAGAACTCCTTCTCACCCGAACACCCTGAGGAAAAGAGAGGCGGGAATACTTAGGTTTTAATGCTGGACCCCCCAGGGGTGCCCTGGACCAGAGGGAAGGACTTGAAAGATTTTGATGCTGTGACTTAAGCCAGCTGATCCCTCCTTGTTTTCTGTCTTATCTTTTCTCTTAAAGAACAGAATGCTGCTTTCTTAGTATGCTCTACTGATTTTATAAATAAACCACTTCACAATTTTGTTCACAACATTTGTTATTCTCTGCATTCAAAGGAGAAAAGAATATGTTCTGATCTTAATGTGTCTGGTGAATTTCCTTAGTGCCACGCATATTCAGCCAGTTTAATACCTTAAAAGATTTCTAAGCAAAACTGGTGTAAATTTCCTTTGACAATGTGAATGAAAAATAATCTATAAATAAAGACAATTACTATCAGTGGTTGTTAAACTGGCATAATTACAAGTACCATAAAACCAGTCTATTTCATAAAATCACAGTCAACTTACTATTTGTACGTCTCGGAGCGGATGTATTCAAAAACATGGGACACGCCAAGCTGGAACTGGTCAGCGATAGGGGTAACCCAGGGATTGTTCTCTGCTTTGAATATCTGCTTCTGACCAGTTAAATCCAAGTTTCCTGAAAAGACGGAGAGAAAAAAAAATGAAGGTCATCTAACCAACAGAAATCAAATGCATGCCTGGTAACCACAGCACAACCTTAAGCATCTTCTGAGTCATTTGATTTGTTTTAAAAATATTTAGCCCAAGTCACTGCTGGTCTATAAGCCATGTCAATGATTGCATACTGACGCAAGAAATTAGGAAGGAAGGGAAGGCGATAAGGAGAGAGGGGAGAGGGAGTAGAAGAAAGAGGTAAGAAGGAAGTAAACTTGGAAGGAATGCATACAAATGTAGCACTTGCTTCATTTTTTCCAGTATTTGCTAAAGGAACAAAAACGGCCTTCCGGAATAGAGAGAACCCTTAATATCAGGACATCCCCCAATTTCACCTTGACAGTGTGCATCACCATTTGTCCAGTAAGACTGAAACCTGATCCAATCAACACCACTTTTCATCAAAGCAGGACACAAGTGGAGAAAGATGAGGACACTGCCCATGTAAAACTACTACTGCCTCTCTCAGGCAGCACAAGCACATCTCAGAATCAGCACTAAACGCAGCGCAATAACATGGTTAAGGGCAGAAATGCATACACATATATCCTACCCATTCACAAATTACCTGTGAAAAGCATTTCCTCCTTTGATTCTCCAGCAATCCCTAAAGTCAGTCATTGACATCACTTTACCGGTAAGAAAAAACACAGAAACTTGGGGAAATTAAGTAATATTTCTAAGAACACAAAATGTCAGAGTAGGGATTTGAATCTAAGCCTTCTGACTCCAAATCTCTTATATATTTCTACAGTGTTTGGTGACTATGTGTCAATCTAGATCAACCAAACATGAGCCAATGAAGGTAGCCAGCATCTGGGTACCATGTATTGGCGGCTCAGTTGATTCTCTATATATGTTTTTCTGTTTGGTATATTTGAAACTGGAAAAGGAAGTGTGAGAAAGAACTTCAAAGAACATGCTTGCCTATGAGAGAGACAGATGTTACACAGTAGAGCTGCATGTGGTTCAAGTGGCAGTCAGCTGGCTCACCGACATCCTTGCCCTGAAAGTCCTACTGAAGAAGTCCATTTTCACACCCCTGGTCTACAGTCTAAGATTTTTGAACAAAGACACCTAGCAATTATTCTTAACATTTCTGTCCTGTTCAGAGGCTCCAACTGCCAATTTTGTCATAACAAATAACTGCAGGATATGGAAAACATATTCTAAGGATGCAAGCACTGCTCAAAGCACATCATTTCCCAGCTAATCTGAACTTCAGAAATGAGAAAAAAACGTTCACTAGGACAGTGATGCAGTATTTCTTCTTAAAAGAAATGCTGATACTCTGAATCTGCCTTCCTTCTGTTATATCAACGGAACTTGTACCACACTTCACTTGACTATGCTCTGCACATACTAACTACAGTCTTTATAAAGTGAAAGTCGCGGCCACCTTGCATCCTTAAGTCTTTCGGTGCCATTCTTCCAACATCATCTGCTTACTTTGTGTCTCTGGGTCACATTTTGGTAATTCTTCCAATATTTCAAGACTTTTTATCCTTATTATTTATGTTATGGTGATCGGTGATCAGTGATTTTTGATGTTACTACTACACGTCACTGAAGGCTCAGGTGATGGTCAGCAGTTTTTATCAGTAAGAAAATTTTTAATATGTGTTTATTTTTGGCTGCACTGGGTCTCAGTTGCCATGCACGGGCTTTCTCTAGCAGCGGTGAGCAGGGTCTACTCTCTAGATGCGAAGCGCAGGCTTCTGATTGCAGTGGCTTCTCTCATGGCTGCGCATAGGCTCCAGAGCTCATGGGTTTCAGTAGCTGTGGCTCACGGGCGTTAGAGCTCGGGCTCAGCAGTTGTGGCGAACGGGTTGAGTTGTGGCATGTGGGATCTTCCCAAACCAGGGATGGGCCCGGCAATGGCAGGTGGATTCTTGATCAACGAACCAGGGAAGTCCATCAGTAAGAAATTTTTAGCTAGATATGTACATTTTGGGGCTTCCCCGGTAGATCAGCTGGTAAAGGATCCACCTGCGATGCAGAGAGAGCCCAGTTCGATTCCTGGGCCGGGAAGATCCCCTGGAGAAGAGATAGGCCACCCACTCCAGTACTCTTGGCCTTCCCTGGTGGCTCACGTGGTAAAGACTCTGGCTACAACGTGGGAGACCTGGGTTTGATCTCTGGGTTGGGAAGATCCCCTGGAGGAGGGCATGGCAACCCACTCCAGTGCTCTTGCCTGGAGAATCCCATGGACAGAGGAGCCTGGCGAGCTATGGGTCAGAGAGAGACAGACATGACTGAATGACTAAGCACAGCACACAGCACATGTAGATTTTTAGACGTGGTGCTACTGCACAATTAACAGACTACAGTATAGTATAAATAAAACTTTTATATGCAGTGGGAAACCAACAAACTTGAGTAACCTGCTTTACTGTGATATTTGCTTTACTGTGATGGTTTGAAATGCAAACTACAGCCATCTCAGAGGGGTGCCTGAATGAACTTGAAGCTATACAGAGTAACAGAGGAAAAACAGACCAACGGAAAAGTGATCCCTATTTCATAAAATGCTTTTAAAGAAAACAGATATTATGAAATAGTAAAAGAGTAATCCATCATGATATTTCCAAAGCTATTTAAAATCTGCTGGTTAAGTACAAAAATAAGCAGACACATTTCTCTCCAAGATTATCAATATTGTCAATTTCCTCATCTTAATGGTTAAACATTATTAGTCAGATATTAAATCACTTGGGAAATTAACAGGCTTTATTCTCTACACCGTGAGTCAGAAAACTGCTTGGGATAAGTGGAAATGCAAATGTTGCACATATTGGGTTTAGCCAAGTATCCTACGAAGGTGTAACACTGCTGGCAGTGGACTGCTGTTTATATATTTTGCTTTTATCTTTACTTGGACAGGAGACAAGTCTTTCAGCTTCCCAAGAATCAAATTGATTGCTTGTTTAAATTTTGCTATAATTCTCATTTCCTCATTTGCTATCCCCTATGTCCTCCTGTCCCTATAATTGTCTCTTTACTTCTTTTTCTCCAATTTCCACATTTCCTAAAAATGACTAGAACAGAAGTTTCTAGGGAAAGTCTTCCATTTACAAACAAGTCTGTATTTCTTAAGTGTCATGTTTACTTTAAGTTTTTAAAATATTTTTCGGCTATGCCACTCGGCATGTGGGATCTTAGTTCCCTGACCAGGGACTGAACACGTGGCTCCCTGCATTGGAAGCTCAGAGTCCTAATCAGTGGACCACCAGGGAAGTTCCTGAAGTGTCGTGTTTTAAACGCATAGTGTCTTATGTTGTGCAGTGTCCTTAGGCTGCACGGTCACTGAGGGAAGGGCCGAGTGACCAGGTGATAGTAACCACGGGGCAGAAATTCTCCTCAAGTTGGGGGGTTACTAGAGGTAAAAGCCTCTTTCTTAAAACATTCACCTAATTTACAGCCTATACTTACCCAATATCCTCTTCCTGCCTCCAAGCCCTGCCCACTTACATTATCATGGAATCAACTGTGAAAAGAAATAATCAATGAGAGCTTCGGGGAAAAAAATGTCTTCTAAAATGGGTAACCAAAAAAAAAAAAAGCCATGAAAAGCATAAATTACATAAAGACGTGAACAAATTTCTAAGCAAAGAAGATTTCCCTGATAGAGATGGCTCTGCTCTAAATATCTTTCTTCCTCATCCCCCCAAACTGGCTAGTCTAATGAAAAATTCAGTCTAACTTTCTCAAGGGTAGAGTCTATCCGATGAACAAGCTTCCTGGCCTCTGTCATTCACACGTTACCATGAACTAACTCAACTGGACCGCTTTCCTATTTAACCTCTGGTTCCAATAGATGGGCATCACAGGAATGTGATTTAAAAAACAAAACAAAACAAACAAACAAAAAAACTCTGGGGAAGAAGGAGGGTGGAAAGAGAAGTAGCTGTGTATGGAGCACCGAGGATTTCTTGGCTTGCTGTATTTTCAAGGCTCTGGGTCAGTGTGAGAACAATGTGGACCAGGGAAAGAATTTAGGAAGGACCCCAAAGACAAGCCTCAGTTTTTCCAAATTTGCCCAGGGGAGCAGGAGAGGAAGACGGCTCTCTTCTTTCCCAGACTGCATTACCAGCTCCCTCCCACCCAGGTGCAGGGTTTGCCTGAGACAGACTGGCTTCTGGGGCTATTTGCTGCAGGGCTTCCACCTAGACATACTTCTCCTCAAGCAAGGAAATACAAAGAAACTATATGGGACTAAAAGTAAGTGTGTGCAAGCCAGCTGGGGCAAACATGGACAAAAGATACAAAAAGACCAAAAAAGCCCTACTGCCACTTCTAACTGGAGAAGGCAATGGCACGCCCCTCTAGTACTCTTGCCTGGAAAATCCCATGGATGGAGGAGCCTGGTAGGTTGCAGTCCATGGGGTCGCTACATGTCGGACATGACTGAGCGACTTCACATTCACTTTTCACTTTCACGCATTGGAGAAGGAAATGGCAACCCACTCCAGTGTTCTTGCCTGGAGAATCTCAGGGATGGGGGAGCCTGGTGGGCAGCCATCTATGGGGTCGCACAGAGTCGGACATGACTGAAGCGACTTAGCAGCAGCAGCCACTTCTAAAGAGCCTGGAGCAAAAACTAGATGTTGGCAACTGCAAAAGCAGGGTCCTGTGCACTCCACCCTGCACTCAATACCACCTAAATGGTGGGCAAACCACCTAAGCCACCCCTCCAGCCCAATCCTTGGACACACTCCTATCTTCACCCCATATAAGGAACCAGCTCCCTCACCCTTGGGGAGTGAGCGAGGGAACCTATCACCTGTTCTCGCTCCTCCCTGCGGCAACAGGAGCCCCGATGAAGCCCTGCCTGAATTTTTCTGGCCTCTAGTCAGCTTCTATTGATTGGGGAAGGACACCAACCCTGATCAGCATCATGCCCACTAATCCAAGAGTACAGGTATGTTATGAACAGGTTTAAATGGATCATCCTTGATATCA